TCAGGTTAAATGAGATTTTCTCAAGGTCACAGAGCCAGTAAGTAGCAGAGCTGGGCACTTTACCTTATGGATATTTCATTTTATGTCACTGAGAAGGCATACTAGGGAATGTTACAAAATGTTCAAGAACATTGGGGATGATTTACTTCCAAGATTCATGATCAAAGGGAATCTGTGGTCAGCAAGTGGTTGCAAAGGGAGTCCGCTGTATGCATTGGACTTGGAAGAAGAAAAACCCTGATAGGACAGTGAGTGCTTTGGCTTTCTCACTCAGGCCATACGTGTCAGTGCTTTTGTCCTCTTCTTCTTGGCCGGTAGCTCAGTCCCTAGGCAGATTAAGTTATTAGAAAGGTGGTGTTCAGCCAGAGATCACAGATGTGCAAAAGTTGGCTTTTAAGAAGGCTCAATGTCCATAATTGGATTCTCTGCTGCTGCAGACTCTACTGTGTGCCACTGTTTGTCATCTGCCTGTGTCTGTCTTAGTCTGCCTCTTCTAAGTTTCCCTTGGTGGTAGCTTTAACTCCTCTTCTCACACGCCCAATATTTGATTTGTGGGTGGAATTTGCGAGTGTAAAGGGGTCCTGTATTGTTTGTTTTTGAGGCACAGTTTCAAAAGAAAATGGCATTTTACAGCCTGCATTAATGAGAAATTACTTTCCATTAGGATTCTGAATGATTTGCACATAGTGTTTATAAAGTGGAGGAAAAATGTCAAGCATTTCACTAACAAATGAAAGCGAAGCTCACAAGACTCTGCCAGAAATGAATTCCAAGAACATTTTCTTCATCATTTCTTCTTTCTAAAGAAAAAAAAGAGAGAGATGAAAGAATGTAGGTCAATTAGGCGGGATGCACTGTGGGACCAAGATGGAATCCTTGATAGTATCATTGCTAGATAGTTAAGAGGACGAATAAAGTGAGCCAAATGGAGAAGGGGGAGAGTCACATCTTGAAATGATGGATTGCAGACAAAATCCAACTGCAGGGTCTGGCTGGAAGCAATGACCGCCTGTCCAAGCCTGTGAATATGGGGTCATGCTGCTTCATCAGCATAAGCAGCCCCTCTGTCCCCAAAGAGAAAAGGAAGCCAAGAAAAGTCCCTGAACTGAAGCGTGTGCCTGGGCAGCTCCCAGAAAACCTTTGATTTTGAAGAAAATAGTGTAGGGACTTGTGACCTGTGCACAAGTATCTGCCCCATTCGTGGGGGATTTTTTATCAGGCCCCAAATTGCCACGTACTGAATGATAAATTTAAAGACTAGAGAGAGGACAAAGTATATTTTACATTTTTTATCCACACATTTTTTTATAAAGTGTTTTCTGTTGTTGTTGCTGAAATTCCTAAAGTGAGTATGGCTTGTAATCACACTGAGAGTTCATATGCTCTGAAACAGGACCTACTTTAAACATGTGGAAGACTGTAATTAGCTAACAAACGTGCATTCCAAATGTGTGCTACAGGCTTGTCAGAGTGAGGCAAAGTAAATCTCCCAAATGGCTTGTATTAAGACGTTCTCACTCTCTTTAGGTATAAAAGAGACTTTTATACATTTCTTGACACTTCTGAGGCGGCGCGGAAATAATTTCTAGAGCCTAAGTCATTCTCCTCCCTGGAGCAAAATCTCTAGGATTACATTAGAAAATAAACATTTATTCAAAAGTGAAATGTGAAGTTTGAAAATTAAAGAAGACGAGCACTTTGCAAATAGAACTATAGAAATTTGGGGACCAAATTTATAAAGAGGAAATTATAATTTTACAGAGCAGTGACAATGGTGATCAGCAAGTTATTTCTTACTTTTCTCTTTTTTCCTTTCCCCTTTTCTTCTGTTTCCCTTATCACTACCACTGACCTTCCCCCAGATCCATTTCTATATAAGTAGTTGTTTCAGAGTCAAGCCGTTGACAAGAGAGAAATAAATAAGGAAACACGAGTTCCACATTGTACTTCAGATTCTGACACTTCTTAGCTTTGTGACTTTGGGTGACTTTCTTAACATCTCTGGACTGATTTCAACTTGTTCCTAAATGAAGTGATTTGTCTTAGTACATCTCAAGGTACCTTCTAGCTCTAAATTCTGTTGCTGCAACACTTACCTTTTATGTGTACTTAGCATTCTTAGTGATTTGAAAAGTGGGCAGGTTGGATACTTAATATTTTCTATATTTAAAAAAATGAAAGTGTGAGCTATGATTATTGTTGATCAGTAGCCATTGATGTGGGAAAGAGGGAGAGTCTTTCTCCTACTTTTCAATCTGAGGGCAGTTTTGGAGGGAAAGGTTTTTTCACTGCAGGGAATGGTTTCCTGTAATTCCCCTAAGTAGTCTGTAAAAAAGAGTTTGAAAAATCATAAGATGAGATTTCTAACTTAATTGTGGGAATGTTGATGCTACTTAGCTGAAATTACTTCAAATGCACATTTTAAAATCTTAATATATATTCTCTAATGATATATTTGATTTGTAAGCTAAAATTTAAAACACCACCATCTAAATATTAAGTTATATACTTATGTTTTTAAAATAGCATAGCGTCAATGGTTTCCAGGTATTTCAAGCAGGGCAGCAGAGACATAGCCCAGTTCTGGGGACTCTAGGGAATCCCCTAGAGTTTTCCAATGAGTACAGCTGCAAGTGCAAACTAGATCATGGGAATGAGCGACACAGGAAAAGTGTAAGAAAATAGTGCAAGTGTGAGAAAATAGTGATAAATGGCTGACACCAGATCTCCAAGACAGAAGCATGACAGAGAGAGATGAGTTGGTAGCCAACTAGAAAACCCTCACTTTGAGGTCGAACACGGTAGCTTACACCTATAATCCCAACTTTGGGAGGCCAAGACGGGAGGATCGCTCGAGCCCAGGAGAGTTCAAGACCAGCCTAGGCAGCATAGCCAGACCTTGTTTCTACAAATAATAGAAATAATAAGAAGTCAGGCATAGTGACAGTTGCCTGTAGTCCCAGCTACTTGGGAGGCTGAGGCAGAAGGATGGCCTGATCCCAGGAGGTCAAGGCTGTGGTGAGCTATGATCATACCATTGTACTTCAGCCTGGGTGACAGAGTGAGACCCCCCTCCAACTCAAAATAATTATAAGAAGAAGAAAAGAAAGAAAAAAGAAAACGCTCTATCTGAAGGGAGTGGCCGACAGTCTACACAGATGCCCATTGCCCAAGAAAATGGGCCCACAGGAGTTAGCCTTTCTGATTTTTCATGTTTATATGAAATCTTCTAACTTTTAAGTATGGGCAATGAATCCACATTGTGAAAAGCAAAGAGCAAACCAAACAAAGTACCATCCGCCAAGCTGATCCCTATGCCAGCAACAAGAAAGCCATCTCTGATGAAGTTTGCTGTCGATCTTTTCTTTTTCATAACTCAGGGTGGCAAAAACAGCCCACAAACATTGGACCTGGTTATAATAGAGGGCTCACTTCCCAGGAATATTTGATAACTAAATGAGCTATAGCTTCTGAGGTCAAATGTCATCTCAGTAGACAAGTCAAGACTTTGTAAGGTGGAGGGTACAGCTTTTATTAGTTTAATCCATCTAATATAACCTGTTTAAATTGAGGATTGGCATCAAGGTTAAAACAAATCGCACATGCTTATTTTTATAGATTATCATGATTAAACTTTAGCTCCATTGACAAGTCATTTCAACCAATCACATCTCCCATGATAAATTCATGTTATTTCTAAAAAGACAGTTCATAGACTTTTACTAGACTTTACTTGGTAGTTTACTGTTTCACCATCATAAATTGAGACTTAAAATTTGCAGATAAGGAAATTAGGACCTAAAGGTGACCTAATCCAGAGTGACAGATCCAAAGTTTCTATATAGTATGCACCTACCAATGGACAAAAATAGTATTTTAGAGATGTCGAACAAAAGACTGTTTGAGGTATCTTCCAGAATTACACACCAATGTTGTGTCTAGGTCAGCTGCAGGGAAGGTATTAGCTTCAAAAGTATTTTGCTATAGGAATTTGAGATTACAGTTTAAAAAAAAAAAGAAACTGTAACATTTGAAGGGCGCGTGAACCATCAGATATGCTTGTTCTTATTCAGAAGAGATGATATCTCATAGGTTGAGTACAGTATCTGGCCCAGAGTACACAGTCAGTTTGAGAATGATTCTGAGCTGAAATAAGTTCCAAATCAGGTTTTCTCCCCAAAATGTAGGAGATGAGCTCTCTAGTAGGATGGTACAGGTACAGTCAGATCTCAGGGTGATATGGGTTGTGGAACCAAAGCTTCCAGAAGGAAACCTGAGTCCCATTCCTGACTGCGTCCCGACTCCACCTATCAACAGATACCTTCCTTTCTGCTCCTTAGCTGCCCTGTAAGTAGCATAAGTAATAAGGGTAAGGGTACAACCTTTGGATTTCTGGACTTTAGACCAGGAAGTGAGCAGAAAATGAGCCCACCCAGATAAAATGGGTGTTACCTGCAGGCTTTATGAAGTGGTCTTTGGAGTTCAAAGAAACCTTAAATCCTGGCTCGGCCGGGCTCAGTGGCTCAGCCTGTAATCCCAACACTTTGGGAGGCCAAGGCGAGTGGATTGCCTGAGCCAGCAGGTTCAAGACCAGCCTGGGCAACTTGGCAAGACCTCGTCCCTACAATAAATAAAAAAATTAGCTGGGTGTAATAGCACACACCTATAGTTCCAGCTACTTAGAAGGCTAAGGTGGCAGGATCACTGGAGTCCATCAGGTTGATGCTGGGGTGGCCGTAAGTGTGCCACTGTACTCCAGCCTGGGCGATGGATTGATACTCCAACTCAAAAAAAAAAAAAATCCTGACTCTGTCACTTCATACCTTTGATTCTCAATGTCATCCTCTTAAGAATGGGGATTATCACCCCTACCACAGAGGATTATTCTAGGGATTAAATTAGACTATGTAAATTAGAGGTGCTGGGCAGGGTACTTGCTACAGGATAAGAGCCCACAGTACAGTGGCTGTTAATGTTACATAATTGGTTATCTGATTTCCCAGCCTACAGCAGATTGGACTCAGCAGATTAGAAAGGCCTGAGGGACTGCTTCCAGAAGGTCCACTGACAGCAGGAAAAAATGACAGGTCTCAGCCCGACAACAAGGGAGGCAAGAGAAAGACTATAAAAACCAGTAACAAAATCTCAAAAGGCACAGCAGTCTGGGTCATTTATTAAAAGACAAAGAGCCCACCTCAGGTCAGTAGCTTCTGGGAGACTTTGTACTTTGTAGTCCTCCAACAGGGACTCATGTTGACAGCAATTGTGTGAATTACTTCTCTCTCCATCCCCTTTCCCCTAAAAATAGGTGTGGGGGTGGGTTATATTTTGCCTCTCAATGGGGATGCTTTGACCAAATGCTTCCAGGTCATGGAATCTCCAAAGTCAAGCCCAGCAGAGAAGAGAGTGCCGTGGGCTCTTTTGGAGGTCTGAAAATAACCCAAGTACAAGTGCAGCAAAAGAGCTGTGATTTTTAGTGCTACAGAGAGAAGGACACCCTTGTATGACCCATCTCTCCTTTCACCTTCATCTCCCTCAAAGTCAGGGTTAGAGATAGAGGCTTCCAGGTCCTGGCATATGGCAGAGAGAGAGAGAGAGAGAGAGAGAGAGAGAGAGAGAGAGAGAGAGAGAGAGAGAGAGAGAGAGAGAGAGAGAGAAAGAGAATGAGAATGCCAGGCTGCAGAAAAGCCAGTCCCTTCTGTTGCTATTGTTATTCTGATGTCTAATCCACCACCTGGAGTGGACAGTGTTTGTCTTTAACCAAAGCCTGAGCTGCTCAATTGGAAGCTGGAGCTCAGAATGAAGAAGGTAGGACAGGGATGATGAAGTGCCAAAAGGACATCCCTCAAGCTAGGTGGGACCTGGGATGGCCTTCCTGAGAATCTGGGTGGTATTTAGGTAAGCAGTGCTCTTAGAGAGCCTCCCATGGCCTGGGAGCTCCCAGGGGCATGCAAAGCTCGGGCCCAAAGTCTTATTCCAAGCCCAGCTGTTGGGCCATCCCTTGGCTGGGGTTGGCACAGAAATGGAGTGGGAATAAACCCATAAACTGAAGATTTTCAGAGGAGATACATGGCATAGGGATCAAGAGCGTAGACTCTCAAACTGGCTGAAGGTCATATCTCAGCACTGTCACTTAATTGTGTTAAACCTCTGTATGCCTCAGTTTCACCATCCCTCAAATTGGAAGAACTAATGATTCCTATTCATAGGATTTTCTGGAAATGAAATCCATTAATATCTCTGAGACACTTAGAATATTGTCCTGACATGCAGTAAACACTAAAACTCAAGAGTTATTGTTTCCTCCCTATAGCTTAATGGGACTGAGGAATTGTGGGACTGGACTTTCCACCTGAGTAAAATGTGCTCAGCATTTCTGCATGTGCCAGTCACCCTTTGCCGCGGGCCTTGAGCAAAAAAAGGCGGGACTGGGGCAACAGCTTTGCAAAGAATTCTCCTACTGGTAAAATAGAGTCCTGAAACTGCACCACATTAATGTCAAGAGGGAAGAGGGAAGTGCAATTAATTTTAGGGGGAACAGGGTGTCCCTACCTATTGTGCGTTGCTGGTACAGTACTTACTAATCGGCATCTTAAAACTCTTGTGGTAGGGTCTCTCCCTCCCATTCTTTTTTTTTTTTTTAATCCTAATGATGTGGAACAGAGCTTGAATAATAAATATTTAGCAGGGACACTCCCTTTTCTCTGTTAAAATAATCTTTGTTTCAGTACTTTAACAAGGAAGACTGTGTTTTCCCACTTCTGCTCTCATGTTACGTTGAAGCCAGGTCTCAGGAGTAAGAGAAAACAAACATGGACCACTTGGGGAGGGCAGGGATAGGCTGAAGCCATCTCACTGAACAACGCAGGGTCGGGGGTTCTAGCTATTCTAAGATACACACAGATCCACAGCAGCCAGTGGGGGTGGGGGGGCTCGTGCACATGAATTCTTAGTAATTTCAGGTGTCTGTTACTGAACATGAGAAAAGTCAGGAGGTGGGGTGGACAGGGAACAGCTACAGGACCACAGGGGGAAAAAGGAGTTGGGTTGTCAATAAAGATGGGACGCTAGGAAGGACCGGTCTTTTTTTTATGAGACGTTTCCAGCAGAGGTGCTGGCTTCTAAGGTGGGAAACTCGGCATTCAGGCACTTTGGAGATGCTTGTGTCTAACACAATTGAAAAGCTCCCACTGAGGAAATATAGCCCATTCTGCCTGGACTTTGGGGCTCCATCCATGGTGACCTGGACTTATCTTTTGTTTTGAGGGAAAATTCACACACTATCACTCAGGTGGGCAGAAATTATTTCTCTTTAACTGAACTGAACTTGCTTATGAGCTTCTATTTAAACCAGTGGTGGAAACAACATAATCTTTTTTCCATTTCTACAGTTGACAAAAAAAAAATTAATCTTTTTTCCATTTCTTTTAATGGTGGAAAAAAACATAATCTTGCCATTGCAAGGTCTGTTCCCTATAGAAAACTCAAGTCTCTTCCTACAGAAAGCGTAGACAAGTCATTTATTGCTTAGGCGATTCAAGATTCAATCACAGTCAACTCAGAGTTGAAATTCCCTATCAGAGCTGTTTGTTTTTCTCAGAGGTTCTTTTTCCCCCGCTTGTCTAACTCAGGATGTTGCCTGGGTGTAAGGAAGCGTTTACAGGACATCATGGTGGCAGACAAGGCAGCTTGCTTCCACTACTGAGGTGACTTATCACAGGAGGCTTGGGGCCTAGGCTGGGATCCACTGACATCTGTGACCCGGGGTTGCCAGATCTATGCATTATGACTCTGCGTAAACCACCCCCCGGGTCTCTTCTGGTCTAACTGGCCCCTCCGCACTTCCTTACCTCCTTCCGGGAGTTGAGAGGATTTGTTCATGGTTCATGGAGAGGTGGGGGCCCTCAGGTCCCCTCTCTGCTTAGTTATATCACCCCACAATTTCCACTGGGTTGTAACCCCCATGTGAGTCTAGAACACTTGGGGAGCCTACCTCCTCCCAGAGTTCTAGTGGGAAGTGGAGCTGAAGACCGCCTTCCCCAGGGTAGAATCCAGACAGCATTTCAACCTTCTTGCCCACCTTCTCACTCCAGGTCCCTCTGGAAAGAGCTTATATCTCTTCTCCGGGTGGCAGGAAACAGCCCTTCTCTCTCCATGGCTTGTAATGAAATCTCTAAGCTCTGAGTTCTTCAAGCATTTGTTCCTTGGAACCAGGAGTTTCTTTTTTCTCCCTTTCTCTTAAATTTTATAAAAGCCTACCTGGCTCTGGCATGAAAGCCTGAAAGCCTTGGCTTTCACATTTCATAACTGCAATGGCATTATTTGGGAACATAAAAGTTCAACATTGTCTGCTTTGTTCATGTCCAGGTTCCAACCTCCCCTTCAAGTAAGGGAGGCCACACAGCTCATCGGGTGGAGGGCCCTGGGCAACAGAAATGACCCCAAATGAAAATGCATTGAATATTTCAAAATATCGTCTGACTGCATGTGTAATTCAGCACAGTCATTCTGAGCACTGGTTGGTGTGGATTTATCAAGTGCCTGCACTGCTGAGAATTGTGTTCAGTGTTGTGGGCAGCCAGAGGTGGGTGCACACACATTGCTCGAGTGTGCACAGCCAGGTGCACACACATTGCTCGAGTCAGGGAGCTCTTGTATTGGGCCTTTCCACCCAGTCGTCTCAGGAGAAATGCCCTGTCTTGGATTCATTTGCTGATGGGGTGTGATATGACTGCTGGTCTCTTTCCAGCTCTCAGAATATCAAAGTGGGCAATGTAGCAGTGGTCCCTTGCCCAGAATGAATGAAGTGAGAAGTGAGTCATGTGTCTTTTCCCTGATTTGTTCAGAGCATGTGTGTGTAGAGTATACAAGTATGCACAAGGTGGTGACCTTGGACAAGTGTATGCCTGCCACCTAATTTTTATATTTATTTTGGTTATTGCCAGTGGTTTATAGAGCAAATGGGAGGGAAATATATATATATCTATATATATATATGGAAAAAAAATATATATGGAAAAAGAGAGAGAGAAACAGAGAGGAAGGGAGCATTCTGTAGTCAGTGTGATAGCCTACAAAATGTCTTGGCAGTGTCATACATCATGGCATGATATAAGCAGTGTCATACATCATGTAGGAGGTGACATGGAGCAAGGTAGGTCATGGTCTGGGGTCTGGAGCCCTGGTGTCTCATTCCATCTTGACCATTAACCCTGGGGCAAGGCCATTGTGACCTCTCAGAGGCATTGCTGCTTCCTTTTCAAAAGGGGAGGGTTCATGGAAGACTGCCAAATTCCATTCTAGCATTAAAATTCTATGTTCAAGGAAATACTTCCCAAGACTCCCATGTGGTTTGGCACCTGACTCCTCCTCTGTTAAAATCTAGTAGTGGGAGAAATGCTAAATGAATACTAATCATTTTTATAATCTACATTAAAAGAGTTATATATTAATAAAATGGACCTGACTCATGGCTCAAGTGGCCATGGGCTTTCAGTGCCCAGCTCCCACCTGCCCACCCAGACATCCACTACATGACCCAAGGACAATGAAAAGTTCTGTACTGTAAATGCTCACTTCCCCAATGCTTTGTTAGAAATCATTGAATGTTATTCGTCCAAATTCAAAATAATGAACCAATCCCCAATGTTTAAATCCTTCTACTTCTCAGCTTTTAACATTAAGACAAGAGGAATAATCAGACTTGGATAGGGATGGGTGGTGTTTTATGGAAGCAGTCATCCAAATGCTGGAAACGTCACGTAGATTCTAGAGGTTATATTGCAGGTAGGTCCAGATTTTAAAAGGCTGACCTACCTGTAAGGCACCATGTGGGAAGGAGCTGCTATCTGGAGAGGAAGAAGCCTTTCCACCACCCCCACTGCCTTGCCTTTCTCTCCCAGCTAAGACTTCTTAATGCTTCCAAGTCATGTTAAAAGAAAACGGAAGGGGGAGACGGCCATTATACTAGTGGTTTTTCAGCTTCCCCTGATCATTGGAAAGATCTGGGAAACTTAAAAATTACTGAAGTCCAGGTTCTATTGCTGGAGCTTCTAATTTCATTGTTTTTTTATTTGATCCAGGCTATTGAATGTGCCACCAAGTTGAGGCCAACTGCCATAGGAAGGCAACAGGGAGCCATCTCATACAACCTGGGGAACTTCACTGCTAAAGGCTCCTTGAGTGGGTCCAGACTTGGTACTCACTCTCACCTGGACATAGCCAAAGTGCCCTGTCAGAGAAATGGATGTTACTGGGTCAAAACACACATAATAAAATCCTTTTCCACAGGAAAATGCCCCTGCCCCAACCCCTCCCTCCCTTCCCCACAATGCTGCCATCCCTCTGGCCTTCCCCAGGACAGTGGGGCATCTCAGTTGATCAGCCACAGAAATATCCAAATTTATCTTCTCTCTTTCTTGGACCTCAGAGACTTAAGAAGGAACATAATCTCTAGCAGAACTTGTTTCAACTCATTTGAAGGCTGGGGGTGGGGGAGTGTTTCATAATAATAGAAAAAGGAAATAAAAATAGAAAGCATCAAATAGAATGGCAGAAGTAAGATAAAATATGTCAGCTATTTTAATCATGGGAAAGGATTACACTGTCTTCTGGAAGGGTAAAAACTGTAAAACTGGCATTACCGTGAGATACTGCCTTCCTCTCCCTTTCAGACTTAGCTCTGCTGGTATTGAGAGGCAGTGTGGAACCTAGAAGACCCTTACATAGCAAGGGATGGTGGTGCACACCTGTAATCCTAGCTACTTGTAAGGCTGAGGCAGGAGGATCGCTTGGGCCTAGGAGTTCAAGGTTGCATTGAGCTGTGATCAGGCCACTGTGCTGTAGTTTGGATGACAGAGCAAGACCCTGTCTCTAAAAAAATAAAGGCAACTATTACTCGTGGGGAGCCTGGCCTGGTCCCGTCTAATCTACTGGTGATGGCTTTTCTCTATGTGTGATCTCTGTGTAGATGGGATGTGTGATTTCCTGGGCTAAGGTTTAGCTTTCTTCCAGTCCTATCTTTAGAGATAATTCTCTCTGGCATCCTTACTCCCTCACCAGTGGTCCATGTTCCCAACCTCCTATGAATGAGGCATCATCTCACATGGCCAGAGGGCCACTGGGGTGTTTCCTCAGCCCTGCCATCTCCTTACCTTAGGCTCCTTTACATGAAACTGTGGGAACTGCTGAGGTCCTTTAGGGGCTATGTAAAACTGGAGTGCAGGGATCCCATCTTCTCCCTAGACATATGAAAGCATTATCCAAAGCCTGGAAAACACTCTATGTTCAGAAACCCATAGGTCTAGATAGTTTGTGGCAACTTTGTTCAAATCTGCAAGATGTAAACATTTTAGAAAACAGAAAAAGAAGACATGTTCAATTTCTTTAAATAAAGTGAATATAACTCTGATACCAAACCCTGACCAGAATACAAAAGCAAAATCATTATACTTTTAAATACAGATATAAAAGTCTTAGATATAGCAATAAACTCAATCTAGCTATAGAATTAAAACATAAGTCCAAGTGCCCATGATAATTAAGTATAAAGATGAAGCTAGTATTTGACATAAGTAAAGAAAATATCATTTAATAAACTGTGTTGGTACTAAAAATAATAGATCATTGACTCTTTTTGCAAAATCCAAATGGATTATAAAAGTTCTAACATGAAAAAAATCAAAAATACTGGAATAAAATTTAGTTGAATATTTATATATGACTGTGTGAAATAAACCATGAATGAAAATTTTGATTAATTTGATGCTTACACTGTTTTAGATTTCTGTACTTATGCCAAAACAAAATAGAAGCCCCATTGGCAGCACAAGCTCTAAAAACAAAATGAAAACAACCAGATGATAAACTGGGAAGGATGTTTATACCAAACATGATAAAGAGTAAATATTCATAGTATAAAGAGGCTCCTAAATTTTTAAAGAAAAATAATGACAGAAAAATAAATGGACAGTAAATGTCAGATATCTTGGAAAAAAATTTATGTCCTATGACCATCAAATCCCTTTGTAAGAATATATTCTCAGGAAGTAATTGTACATGTCTGTACATGTTTGTAATTGTACATGTTTGTAGATTTATGTGTAAGCTATTTTTCAAAAAGTTGTCTATGCAAGCCAAGAGAGAATGAAAGAGAAGGAAGGAAGGAATGAAGAGAGGAAGAAAGGGAGAAGAGGGTGGGAAGAAGGAAGTTCAGAAGGCAGGGAAGGGAAAATAAGAGATGAAGAGGAAAGAAGGAAGAAAGAAAAGAAAGAAGGACTTTAAATGTTCAACAGGAGATTAGTTAAAGAAATCATCTTATATTGTTAGAGTTGACAGCCGGTCAATAACTAAAAGCAATCTGGGAATATTTTGACAATAGTATGCACAAGAAGTTTTTTTTTTTTTTTAATGAAAACAACTACATGTAAATATATGCACAAATATATTCATAAAGACATCTGGAATTTGAAAGCCTCACGATGGTTATCTCTGAGCTAATAGATTACAGCAGACTTTTCTCAATTTTGCATATATGTATTTTCTTTTACAATTACCATGTTTTTGTTTTTAAAAAATCTTTTAAATGTTATTCTGAAAGCTCCATGCTTGGTATAATAACCTCAAGACATCAGGCATATCTGCTCTTTTCTGTCCTGGTTTCTCTCCTCCTGCCCCTCATCCTGCTCATGGCCCAACACATGGTCAGCAGCTCTAGGAAGATCTCTTTGGCTAAGAGGCCTTTCTTGCTCCCCTCTCCTCAGACTCCTGATCCACAAGTGACAAACCCTCCATATTTGTTCTTTAAATGTTTTCCATGGACTACCCAGTCTCCACATAGAAACTGTAAGCTCCCTGAAGGCAGAGGTTGGGCCTTTGTGATTTCTCTCTTCCTTAGGGTACCAGGCCGAGCTGAGTGGCTGCTTCCAGGAGATGGGCTAGGCATGGATTCTCTATCTGAGAATACTAATGAGACAGATACTGGGCGCAGGAGGTCAGCTCAGGCAGCCAGGAGAGACCACAAACAGTACTGGTGAGCTGGGTGTAGCCAGCCTTGACATGGGAAGAAGCAGAGGATCTCTGTTAATGGTCTTTCCAACCTTTTCCATATTTTCAATTTCCATGGATAATTTATATTATGTTAACCTGTACTTTTTGTCTCCATATCATGTGGACAGGTTCTAACGTTCCCATGGACCAGCCCTGCTGCCGTGGTCTCTATGACTTTGAGCCAGAAAACCAAGGCGAATTAGGATTTAAAGAAGGGGACATCATTACGTTAACCAATCAAATAGATGAAAACTGGTATGAAGGAATGATACATGGGGAATCTGGATTCTTCCCCATTAATTATGTTGAAGTGATCGTGCCTTTACCTCAGTAAATGTGTAACACAAACTTTGGACATACTTTCATAACTGAAATGAATTCACACCAATGTTCTCTCAATGTGGTGTTCTGTGACATCCTTGCTCTCTGACCAACTTAATGACTTTTGTATGTGTGTTCTCTTTATAATGTATTTTGTATCAATTTAATTTGTATAAATGATTTTCTTGTCCTAGCTACATGAAAATATAGATTTCTTTTTTGCTTGTTGCCCTAAAAGTCATTGGTTAAATGTATGTGCTTCCACCCATTGCAGTTATGTCAATGAACTGCCGATATTCCTCAGCTGCAATGGAATGTGACATTTGAAACTAGGAAATGCTAAATATTTTGACATTACTGATGGCATCTAGTCTTTTTCCTTTATTGTATTTTAAGCTTACCTGTGAATAGCCCAATAAATATGACACACTGTGTTGGCAAGAGGCCTTTATTATTGTTAACATTGAATTGATTCTTAAGCACAGTTGTGTAGCTGCAAACTCCTACCATGCCTCACAGTTGACCAGAGTCACAACGTGGATGCTTAGATGATCACCCCCAACTGACAACAGCAGGCCTGAAATGGGCCTTCACTTTTCACCTGACTCAAACACAGCACACACCCTCCTTTCAGTTGGGGAATGGAAAACCCTTCCACCGACCTTCAAACTTATTTATAAAAGAGCCCAATTCAAGCTGCTTCTGCTGCCAAACATTGGGTAGCCTTTTCAAGCAAGTCCTGTTATGGATGCTCAGGAATTAGCATTGTCAGGAATTGTGTTGAGTGCCCAAGAATACAATTGCTCAGACTCAGTGAACCAGCCCCTGGCCTTGCCCAGAGTATACATTTGTCACATACTTTGGCCCACTGGGGTCCCCAACCACCCTGTTGTGGGGAGGGGCAGGTATTTCCTATTTGCAAAGAAGGAGATTCATTGAATGGCTTGCCCAGGATCAGACAGCCATGCACAGGCAGGCATACCACAGAGACATCGTGAGTTCTGTTACAATTACTGCAAGAAAGTGAATATCACAATAAAATGAGTTACACAGATTTTTTAATTTCCCCATGCAAATGAAAGTTGTGTTTATTTTATAGTGTAGTATATTGAGTTTGTAATAGCATTATGTCTTAAAAATGTACATAATTTAACTTAAAAATAATTTACTGCTAAGAAATGCTAGTGATTCTCTGAGCCTTCAGTGACTCATAATCTTTCTGCTGGTGGAGAGTATTGCCTCAATATTGATGGCTGCTGACTCATCAAGGTGGTGGTTGCTGAAGATGGGGGTTATGGTGGCAATTTTTAAAGACAATAATGAAGTTTGCTCTATCAGTTGACTCTTCCTTTCATAAAAGATTTCTCTGTAGCATACAATGCTATTTGATAGCATTTTACACATGGAACTTCTTTCAAAATTAGAGTCAATCCTATCAAACCCTGCTGCTGCTTTACTGACTAAGTCTATGTAATAGTTTAAATCCTTTATTTCTATTTCAGCAATGTTCACAGCATCCTCACCAGGAGAAGATTCCATCTCAAGAAACCAATTTCTTTACTCATCCAAAAGAAGCAACTCCTCATCCACTCAAGTTTTATCATGAGATTGCAGCAATTCAGTCACATCTTTATGTTCCATTTCTGGCTCTGGGTTTCTTGTTATTACTTCCTCTTGAACCCCTAAAAGTCATCCATGAGGGTTAAAATCAACTTCTTCCAAACTCCTGTTAATGTTGCCATTTTCACCTCTTCCCATGAATCATGAATGTTCTTAATGGCATTTAAAGTGGTGAATATTTTCCAGAAAGTTTTCAGTTTACTTTGCCAAGATCCAGCAAAGGAATCACTACCAAAGGGTAGACTTACAAAAATGTCTTTCTTAAATAATAAGACTTGAAATATGACATTACTCCTTGTTCCATGGGCTGCAGAATGGATGTTGTGTTAAGAGCATGAAAACAATATTAATCTCTTTGTTCATCTCCATCAGAACTCTTGGGCGATGAGGTATATTGTCAGTGAGCAGAAATATTTTGGAAAGAATCTTTTGTTTTCTGACCAATAGATCTCAACAAGTGGGCTTAAAATATTCTGCAAATCATGCTGTAAACAAATGTGTTGTCATGCAGGCCTTGTTGTTCCATTTATAGAGCACAGGCAGAGTAGGTTTAGCATAACTGTTAAGGGTCCTAGAATTTTTGAAATAGTCAGTGAGGTACTGGCTTTAATTTAAAGTTACTGATTGAATTACCCCTAACAAGAGAGTCAGCCTGACCTTTGAAGCTTTGAAGCCAGGCATTGTCTTCTCCTATATAGATATCAAGGTCCTAGATGGCATCTTCTTCCAATATAAGACTGTAGTCTGTGTTGAAAATCTGTTGTTTAGCGTAGCCACCTCCATCATTGATCTTAGCTAGCTCTTCCGGATAACCTGTTGTAGTTTCTCCATCATCACTTGCTGCTTCACCTTGCATACTTACATTGTGGAGATGGCTTCTTTCTTAAACCTCATGAATCAACCTCTGCTAGCTTCTAACGTTTCTTCTGCAGCTTGCTGACCTTTCTTAGCTTTTTTAGATTTGAAGAGAGTTGGGTCTTGCTCTGTATTAGGCTTTGGCTTAAGGGAATGCTGTGGCTGGTTTGTTCTTGTATCCACACCACTAAAACTTTCTTCATGCCAGCAATAAGACTGTTTTGCTTTCTGATAATTTGAGTATTCACTGAAGTAGCACTTTTAATTTCCTTCAAGAATGTATCTTTTGCATTCACAACCCTGCTAACTGGCACATAAGATCTAGTATTTGATGTACCTTCCTCACTAAGCTTAATCATTTATGCCTTTTTTTTTTTTTTGAGTTGGAGTCTCACTCTGTCGCCCAGACTGGAGTGTAGTGGCCGCTTCTGGCCACCGCAGCTTCGACCTGCTGGGCTCTGGCGATCCTTCCACCTCAGCCTTCCGAGTAGCCAGAACTACAGGCATGCACTACCATGCCCGGCTGATTTTTTGATTTATTGTAGAGGTGAGGTCTCGCTGCCCAGGTGGGTCTCGAACCCGCAGGATCAGTCAGTCCACTCCCCTCAGCCTCCCAAAGGCGCGGGATTACAGGCTGAGCCACCGAGCCCGGCGTCATTTATGCTTTTGATTTAAAGTGAGAGGCATGCAACTCTTCATTTCACTTGAACAGTTAGAGTGAATTATGATGTTATTAACTGGTCTAATTTCAGTATTGTGTCTCGGGGAATAGGGAGGCCCAAGGAGAGAAAGAGAGACGGGGCAACCGCCAATCATTGGAGAAGTCAGAAGACACACAACACTTATCAATTAAGTCCATTGTCTTATATGGGCACTGTTTGTGGTGCCCCAAAACAATTATAATAGTAACATCAGAGATAACTGATCACAGATCACCGTAACAGGTATAATAATAATGAAAAAGTTTAAAATATTGTGAGATTTACCCAAATGTGACACAGAGACTTGAAATGAGCATATGCTGTTAGAAAAATGGCATCTTATAGACTTATTTGAAGCAGCATTGCCACAAACCTTCAATTTGTAAAAAGAAAAAGAAAAAAAAGAAAAGCAATATCTGCAAATCACAATAAAGTTGCAATACAATGAGGCATACCTGTAGTGGCAGAGGCAGAGTTTGAACTCAGATTTTCCACAGAACCCTACCTTCCACGTAGGTGTTCACCCAAGTCACTTGGAAGTGTGCTGCTGTTCCTTGACATTTAGAACAAATGGCCAGGGACCAATTGGTCATCAAGATTGGGTAACCTAAACCAAGTTTTCCAGTCTTCTGAGTCCATGGTATACCAGTAAATTCACAACAACATACTTTCCCTCCAGTCAGCTACACACACACACACACACACACACACACACACACACACACACACACACACACACACACACACACACACACACACACACACCCCTTTTCCAAAAGAGTTGTACATTAAGTGTTTATGATAAAATAAAAATAGTAACAGCTAACACTTGTTGTGTGCTTACTATGTGCCAGATGCTATTGCAAGCATTTTACATGAATAAACCCATTTAATCCTTATAAGCAACCCTCTAAGGTAGAGACTTATGCCCATTTTTCAGATAAGGGAACTGAGATGTAGTAAGATTGAGTAACTTGTCCACAGTCCCATAGTTACTTAAGTGGCAGAACTGGGTTTCTAACCCAGATAGTCTCCCTCTCACACTCATGGTCTTCTCCTTTCTTCTATGCTGCATCTCACAATATGTGTTTGTCCTTTTCCATACTCCATTTAGCTGTTATACTCCAGTAGCCACACTGGAAACTTACCAAAGGGAAAGAGAATTCCAGGACCATTCCCAACGTCCATAATATGCTTTGATATCTTGTTTGTGAAATAAGTTAATTAAGAGCTATAGTTTAAACTTTAGTGCTAATAACAAAAGGATCCGCAATTTATATTAGATTATTGTCAGGGAATTGAAGGGACTTGTGTCTGTTGACAGGCTGCTGCTGAAGAGGAGACTCAACTCATAACCAGGCAATGAGTAGAAGTGTGGTAGTTACAATGTGTCTTTTACCAGCTCCTGACTTCAGGTATAGGGTGCCATACCTTCTCAACAGTTTTTACCCAGATGGTGTCTCATATCCGCTCATGGACAAGTCTGGTCAATCACAATGACATCAGCCATGGTCTTCCTTCCATCTAGCTCTTCTACTTCCAATTCCATTGTACCCCCTGCGCCTCACTTCTTCTGGGCATCACCTCTCCCACTGGCCCTCCTATCCCTTCTGCTGGGTTCTGACTGCCAGTGCCCACAGAGCATTATGACTAAGCAATGGTACCTTGAACCCATCAGATTGACACTATATTCTGTTGAAACGAAGAAGAATACCACTCCTGTTGCCTGTGTTGCTTCCTGTTGGTGGAATCCCAAAGCAAGTTTAGTTTGCTTGTACTCTATTATTTCACTAAGATTATCAAATAATTCTGTAGGTTCTGCCTTAAAACTGTTCTTTTCATAAGTTTCAAGTGTGAGTTCAGAGAGACGCCAGAACAGAGGATGAATATGAGTGATAGATACCACCAAAGCTTAATATTCCACTGATGATACATTTGGTTTGTTGTATGTTACGTATCAGCACCACATAATTCTGTGTAACAAGCAACCGCCCAAATTAGTGACTCCACGTAATACACACTTATTCAGCTCATAAATCTGCAGGTTGATTAAGTCTGGGTAGTTCTTCAAGTTTCAGGTAGGCTCACTCACAGGACTGGGAGATAGGTAGCTGTTAGTTGTGATCTCACAGGTCTAGAGGTTGGCTGGGGTGACTCACTTTCATTTCATATGTCTCCCTATATTGGGTTGGCCCAGGCATGTTCTCATGGTGAATGCAGAGCTGCAAGAGCACAGATGGAAAGGCCAAAATACTTTCTCGAGTCTCTGTTTACA